GCTAGACATCCGGTTGCCTCTAGCCAGGATTGAAACCCGACTGAATTGGTGATGAAAGTGAATTTTTTTAGCGTATTTATTTTTACAAACACGCCCAGTGACCGACAGTGACTCAATTCGCATCTGCGAAGAGTCTCGCTATATAGCTATAATAGTCACTGTTTACCAACCCACACCTCGTCCCCAGAGAGCTCAACTGAAATTGATATTTATATATATATATATTTATATATATATATTCTATTATAGACAGGGTTTGAAGGAATTTATATATATATATATATATATATATATATATATATATTTTCTGATTAAAAAAAATACTGCTGTTAATTTGCTAAAATACAAAGACAATATGTTTACTTTAATACAAATACTTTTAATAGGGAAGTGCCCATCCTATAATTTTTTTCTGTTTAGAAAAAACAAAAACGATTTGTACATAATATCCTCGAAACATTTGGCATGATACTTTAGAATCTTATGTAGAAAAAGGGAGATTCTCAGTCAGATTCTTGAGAAATCTAGACACCTGAGTTTTTGCAATGTCATCAAAATGATTATCAAGACGATTAAACAGCATGTTACTGAATTTCATCATAGCAATGAAACATAAGATGACGTTTTTTCCGAGCAACACCGGGTATCCCCGCTAGTTTTGTTATAGGTTTCATTCTTTTTCTTTTCAAGAACAAATGTTACTTAATTTTAGGCGGTGAGTCAGGTATGTGTGTGTGTAAGGAGCAGTGTCTTTGAAAGTCAGCGCGGTAGCTTTTTTGCGTCTGGACGTGAATGAAGTCTTCTGTGCGTCTCATGACCAAATTTTGCACAATGCCTCTCAATTGTTACACCCAAAAAAATTACACACACACACACACACAAAGACACGCACAAACACACACACACACACACACACACACATATATATATATATATATATATATATATATATTTATATATATATATATATTTGTTTGGCGTATTATATTTAAGGATACTGTAATGAAAGTTATGTGATGGATAGAAGATTCGGTCTTCAATAGGCACAATATGAGATGAACATTAATAACTAATAAAATTGGACAATTATAACAATATACTGTAATAAAATTTACGCAAAGAATCTAAAATTCTTTTTGAGTGTCAATTTTATTAGGTACAGTAAGAGATTAACAACAATGACTAATAATAAAATAGGAAGATGATAGATAGATAGATAGATAGATAGATAGATAGATAGATAGATAGATACTGAAAAGGCTGAGATAGATAGATAGATAGATAGATAGATAGATAGATACTGAACAGGCTTAGATAGATAGATAGATAGATAGATAGATAGATAGATAGATAGATACTGAACAGGCTTAGATAGATAGATAGATAGATAGATAGATAGATAGATAGATAGATAGATAGATAGATAGATAGATAGATACTGAACAGACTGAGATAGATAGATAGATAGATAGATAGATAGATAGATAGATAGATAGATAGATAGATAGATACTGAACAGGCTGAGATAGATAGATAGATAGATAGATAGATAGATAGATAGATAGATAGATAGATAGATAGATAGATAGATAGATACTGAACAGGCTTAGATAGATAGATAGATAGATAGATAGATAGATAGATAGATAGATAGATAGATGTAGACAAAATCAAATGAATTTCTGGTTTTTCCAAGAACTTAAACACCAAATGGCCCTAAGATAAATGGACAACTCTGTCAGCCAAGCTTTGAAACAGAAGAATTGCGCAGAGAATGATGGATAAACAGATACATTGACAACTCTTCCTTTATTCTACTTACGCACATCCTACATAAATAACAGAGGTACCTCCTTCTCTGTTCATCACTGAACTTGGACGAACGAAATCCTGCTCGTGAGTTCCTTGTCGTCTGGATAAAATTTAATTCTTATGTACACACAGACTCAATGCTCACAAAGGTGAGACATGAAATATTGATCTTCAGATTTGTTTTATTGGTCACAGTAGCATGACTCCAAACCAGACATTGTTCGGATTAATTAGGCAAACGTAATCGTCTTAGGATATCGCCGAATTATACGTGTTCTTAATCCGCGTGTAAATGCATTGGCCTTCGAAAGGCCGTTGTCAGTTAAAGCGACAGAAGATTATCTACTCAACCACAAGTAAAATAAAAGCTGATACAACTGTTCGACTATAAAGAATTACATTAATCATGTAAAGCTTAATACAGATTAAGAATTTGCTATGTGAAAAAGAACAAGGTCAAAATGTTGACCGACAATTTTACATGCATGCAGGAAGATAAAAGAAATATTTTATAATTATCCTGATCTCAACAGTTAAAGTTTGTTTTATCACCTCAGTAATTTGAATTAAATATTAATATTTTAAAACATCATTAAAATTTCATATATATTTCAGATAGTTTATATTTAATTTCGTATTAATATTAAATAATACAATATAAAATGTTAATAATTTAAATATTTTATATTTAATTGGTTATTGATAACATTATTTGACACCAAGTAAGGAAATAAAGCCACTAAGACGCAAGGGAGTACTGAATATAAGAAAAAAAAACATTATTAATGAGAGTGAACAGATTGTAAGTACTTTTCAATATTCATAATTTTAAAATTTTACACGTATTTTAGGGTGAAACTAAAAGATTATTGTTGTATTTTGGAGTGATACTAAAAGACTGTTTTTGTATTTTGGTGTGACACTAAAAGACTTTTTTTGACGTATGACCTTGATGTCAGCCATCGATCAAAAGTAAATGTTCCGTATCAAGTTGTTTTAAATTTAACATCACCTCAGCTTGACTCATATTGCTAAAGTTTCTAACGAAACCTTCTTAAGCCTGTTTTAGTTACCTCGTATTTCCGGAAAAATGTATAGTCTCCTGGCATCTGCCTCCCACGACAAATGAATTACAAATTCGCCACGCCAAGTACAACACGCCCTCACTGAATCAAAAGAGTTGTGGGGGGGGAGCAAAAGAAACGAGTTGGAAACTAGTAATTATGAATCCTTTTAAAAAATTGAGGGTAACAAATAATTCCATGTGACTAAATCAGGGTTAATAGTTTGTTTAGTATTTCATTCTTATTTTCTTTCAGACTCCATCGTTGGCTACATGATTCTTCCCTGATATTCTCACCATCCTTCTGTAGAAACACAATATCCCGTATTCACTTCCGTAGGAGCACATAACTGTCCAACACAGTGTTTTTTTTTTATTTGTTTGTTTCTAACAAAATTTCCCTATTACTTTTTTTTTTTTTTTTATGTTTCAACGCGTTCTGCTACACAATATCCGTTAATATTTTCTTTAGCTTTTGGAAGTTTCTCCTCTGGTGGAAATTCCATGTTTATAAATATTAAAATTGAAACCTTACTTTCCAAAAGTGAATAATAATAAAATCATTTACGATACAAAGGAGAACGCTTACAGTTGTCATAAAATAAACACATCCCATCTCCCCTCTCGCTTGTATCCATCCATCAAAATAAAATAAACGTTTTCCAGCACTTATACAGAATGAGTGAAATAAATCTTCATAAGGTTCTTCTTAGAATTCTTATTACAGGCTACCCAGTAAAAGAGCGGAAAATTTATCATCACCATTTTAACTTTCAGGAATAATTGACCTCGAATAACCTTAAATAAATTTCTTGAATATACATAACCTTGAATAATCATTAGACTCTAGCGTAATTACTTAACTCTGATCGGTTCTTTTATGAATGATTAATTGATGTTCCATCTTGTGACTCCTCATTTAATGGTTATTTGCGGATAACTATCGTCTTTCGTGCTGCCATTCTCGTATGGCTAAACAACTCAATTATTTTGAGCTTCAAGTTATCGTACTTTTCAAAGAAAAACATCCGATGACGAAACGTCCAGAAAATCTTCCTGAATATTTCAGTCACATCAGTTCACATATTTCCAACGATTGTCTCACGTCTTTCTGAATTCATCGCTCTTTTTACTGGGCAGCCTGTATATTCTTTATGTGCCTGTCCCTTCAGAATGTAGGCGATCATGGCTCTCCACTTCCCCCTACCTCGTGTATCTCTCAGTAAGTTTCGTCCTTCTGCCACCTCCCCCACACCATGTTCTGTCATCCACTTGCTGAAGCCAGCCAGGTATGTCATACGTTGTCTACCCTTGTCTCTCTTTCCCTCTATTCGACTTGTGTGTATCAGATTCTCTTGGCCCTCCTTTCTCGTTAGCTCTCCCAGAAATTTCATCTGCCCCTTCCTGATGTTAATTATAATCTTTCTCCTTTTTAGTGTCCTTTCCAAAACCGCATCGCTGCTAACACACTCATTAAATCCTCAGCATCCTTCTGTAGAAGCCTTGTATCTCTTCTTCCTCTTTGAGGAGACCGTCCAAAATTCGCTACCGTAAAGGAGGACAGATGTCACGTAGCAGCTCAGTACTCTTTTTTTTTTTTTTTTATAAAGGGTTCAGTTCGACATTCCAACCACCTGAAGAATGCCGGAGCGTTCAACGGCCGAAACGTTGTAATAAATATGGCGACTAATTTAAGGACAATTGTCCGAATAATGTAAATAGTGTACTCTTTTCTTTGTTACCAAAGAAATCCTCCTGTCTTGCAATACTGTCCCCAGCTTTTGGAATGCGCCCTTGGCCATCCCAATACATGTACAGATCACGGTTTCGCACTCTTTCAAAACACTTTCCATATATTTAAACTTCCGCACCTGCTTGATTTTACTTGCAAATCGCATTTCGGGATCATCCTTTTGCATTCTGTAATATTACATTTTGTGTTTACGACTGAAGAAAACTGAATAACAATACTATTTTTTCTATTTTTAGGTATGTTTGCCGATTATTGATATCGCGTTGTTTAACACGGCGGTTACTGTTGATTTGCATCTTCCTCAGTTGTTCTGGTCTGTTCGTTTTTAATCGCTGGGCTCTCACGAAAACAGTCTTTAATGTCGCCTCGCGTATGTTCATCAAACAGGAGAACTACTCCGGATACCTAGTCGAAACAAAGCAATGCCGAATACCTAATATCGACCCATTCGATCCATCTATTGCAATGTACCTACGTGTAACCATCTGGCAGCCATGCCCGAGCAGGCAGTCTTTGACCTATCAAAATGGCGACGTACTGCGCCTCAACCGGACGTTGATTGAATACTACCATGGAAATCACTTCAAAATCTGCAAGTATTATCCCATTGTGCGCGACAGTGTCAATGACGACACGTTCCACATTCTAAACGCGGGCGTAGACTTTAATAACGACGTCGCTGTGAAATACCAGTTCATAAAAGTAGTATGCTTCGACACAAGTAACATAGTCATCTATACGAACTATCACGCTTACGTGTTGCACGCGAACATCACCCAGCCAAAGCGACTGACGAAAGTAGACAAAATTCGTCAAGTGCTAAGCAAAAATTCGGCTCAGCTGAAATCGACGACGTTGAATAAAACGTCTTTGCTTACAACCGTGCCAACAACGACAGTTCGTCCACAAAGGACAGTGCCAGAGGTCAAAGTTAAGCTTAATGTTCTATTGGTCGGCGTTGATTCAATGTCACGTCTAAATTTCATGCGACAAATGCCTCGAACCCGTTCTTACTTACTGGAAAATATGGGAGCCTTTGATATGTCGGGCTATAACAAAGTGGCTGATAACACATTTGTAAATTTGGTCCCAATCCTGGTTGGGAAATACGTTGAAGACCTTCCTTGGAATGAGACACTGAGTAAACAGCCGTTTGATAAATACGAATTCATGTGGGATCGTTATAAGGAATATGGCTTTGCCACACTTTTCGCAGAAGATGCTCCAGGCATGGCAGCTTTTAACTATGCAAAATCCGGCTTTCACAAGCAACCAACTGATCATTATTATCGACCGTTTGCTCTTGCCGTTGAGGCTGACCCCGAAGTCCGGTCTGCTGATTCCCACTGCATCCGCGATCGAATGGAAGCAGAAATGCTTCTACAATACACTTACGATTTTGCCCGGGTGTACGAAAAAGATCAGTATTTCGGTCTGACATTTATAAGTCGTTTAACGCACGATGACATCAACAATGCGGGTCGCGGTGATTTAGTCTACTTAAAGTTTTTCCAAAAGCTTCACGAAGATAACCTATTGAAAAACACCATCTTATTCTTCTTTTCCGATCATGGAATACGCTTCGGGAACTTCCGGAAAACCTACATTGGGAAGATCGAAGAACGACTTCCGTTCATGTTCATCGTGCCGCCGTCTTCGTTGATTCGACGCTATCCGAATCTGTGGGGCAATATGAAAGTTAACACCCACCGACTGACCACACCTTTTGATATTTATGAAACTCTTCTGGCATCACTTGATATCGACACGGCTGCTAAAAATGTCGATAAGCAAATCGCAAATGGTTTCCCGAAGAGAAAGCAAACCAGGTACAGTCTATTCACACGCGTGCCTTATGAAAGGACTTGTGAGGATGCGACGATTCTGACTCATTGGTGTTCATGTCATCAGTTGACCCAAATCGACGTCAATGACGGGAAAATAATCCGCGCCGCCGAGGATCTTGTTAAAAAGTTGAACCAGTTACTGTACAAGTTAAGAGAAAAGTGTGTTATCCTAAAACTGAACAAAATTCTGGACGCTTCCCTGATTGGAGCAAATGACGAACTACTTCGCTTTCAAGACAGTGTTAACGACGTTATCGATCGGCAAGTATATTTTGGCAAGCAGGCCGAATCAACAAAAACTGATTACCAGCTGACAATTGAAACAACACCAGGACTTGCTCACTTCGAGGCTTCACTCAGACACGAGGAGGGCACAGATATATACACCCTTTTGGGAGATATAAGCCGCACTAATCTGATAGGGCGTCAAGCAGATTGTATAGACAATGCAAAATTACAAAAATATTGTTGTTGTCACGAGAAAAATGATTAAGGGCGACGAATCGTAAAGAGATCAAGTTACAGGTGATAGATTTACAGCATTGCATGAATTGAAATGTCGGTTTACTCCCATGGCTCTCACTTATTTTCAATTCAAAAACACAGCACAAAAATTCATAAATACCTATGTAGAGCCATACATAAACAGATACGTGCATTCACATACAGACACATATTAAAACATAAATACACACACACGTATAAATAACAGCATTCATACGTATTAACATAGTGAGAGTATGCTTGTTGGCCGAGGTACATGTATATTTGCACCTTTTGTATTTTAATGTTCTATTTGAAGTAAATATAAGTATTCTGGACAGACACACACACATATACATATAGGTATATTATATATGCGTGTGTACGTGTGTGTGTGTGTGTGTGTGTGTGTGTGTGTGTGTGTGTGTGTGTGTGTGTAAGCGTGAGTGCATATGTTTGAGTATCTTATAATGGTGGTCTACGATGGCGTACAGGTATGCGAGTGTATGTGGTATCTTCCAAGCAATGACCACTAATATTTATCCTTGTTGCATATTGAGATACACAATCACACACAGACACACACAGACACATACACGTACGCACGCGCACACACACACTCAAATACACACACAAATAAGGAATATTGCTGTTATATACGGTCTGGTGCCTTCGCTGAACGTCTCGAGCTCCTCGACAAAATCCAGAGACGAATATGCCATATGATAGGTCATGATCTGGCATCTAGCCTGCAGTCGCTTTCTCACAGACGTGCCGTGGATTCCTTTTGTCTCTTCTACGAGTATTTTCACGGCAACTGTTCCAAAGAACTAATTTCGCAGTTTCCCAGATGCATGAATTTAAGCAACCCACTAGACAGGGATCTCAGTCCCACCCTTTCACTGACGAAAAGGTTAAATGTAATCGTCTCTTCTACTCGAACAGCTTCTTCTCTCGCTCTTCCCGTCTGTGTAACTCCCTTCCCCTTATTTGCTTCCCTGATAATTATAAATAATACAAATATTCAAGTGTAATGTCAATCGACATATCATAACTTGATCTTGTTCTCCGTCCTTCTCTCTATCCTTTCCTCAAACAAGTCTCTTTACCATTGTTCTCTACCCTCTGTAATCCCTTGCGTGCTAGTGGCACCCCCGCCTTGCTTGGGGTAAACTGCTTAAAAAAAAAAACACACACTAATAATATACCCTCTTATACAAATAAATACCATCATATTAAATTGCACAGTATGATTCTCGAAGCGTCCCACGCATGTGCTTGTGTGTGTGTGTCCTTGTGTGTGTGTGTGTGCGCGCGCGTGTGTGCACGCACATGAGTATATGTACATGAGACATAACATACGATGAAAGACACGGATGTATAAAGATGTGTGAGTGTTATAAATTTAGGTAACTTTATTACAGTGACAGCTTTTAAATAATCAATGTAAACCTGTCACATTGCGAGACGATAGTTATTACATAAGACTGGCAAGATTTTTTTGTTAATGACGCTTGCGTAGGTTTCTTGCTACCCGGCACCAAAACATTTACATTTTATGGGATAGGTATTCATGAAAGTTCATGAAAGTTCATGAAAGTTCATGAAAACGTACCTGTTAATAAACATATATTTGTTTTAACCATTTTAGCGCACGAAAGGCATCAGTAGCTACCAAGAATGAAAGAGAATAAGAAGACTTTGGTGAGGAAAAAGGACAACAAAAAAAACGGTCTTCAGGAAGACAGAAGATAGCAATTGGTATCTTTCTATATTTCTGAGATGAGGTATTATGTACATTATTTACATTATTCGGACTATTGTCCTCATCTTTGTCGCCATATTTATTACAACGTTTCGGCTCTTCAGTATCTGTCTATATTTCTGAGATGAGGTATTATGTACATTATTTACATTATTCGGACTATTGTCCTCATCTTTGTCGCCATATTTATAACAACGTTTCGGCCCTTCAGTATCTGTCTATATTTCTGAGATGAGGTATTATGTACATTATTCACATTATTCGGACTATTGTCCTCATCTTTCTTGCTATATTTATCACATGGCACATTGAATAAAGGCGTTAGTTAGATTCAGTGACAGAACCCAAAGAGTGTGATTTCAATACCTGGTTAAGGTGGTGGAGAACTTTCAGAGGGAAAATTAACAGGAGATAACTGATAACTGACATCCATTAAACATGGCACGTGGAACTAGAACAGCCTACCCCAGTGAGCGAAATAAAGGGTTCAGTTCGACATTCCAACCATCTGAAGAAGGCCGGAGCGTACAAAGACCGAAATGTTGTAATAAATATGGCGACAAAGGTGAGGACAATAGTCCGAGTGATGTAAATAATGTACATATTACCTCATTTCAGAAATATAGACAGATTCTGAAGAACACTTATACTCAGAATCAGGAAAAGGAAGCTCAAATTACTTGGACACATAATAAGGAATAAGGGCTTGGATAAATTAACCCTAACGAAGCCTAGTGGACAAGAAAGATAGTGAGAAGCAGAGATTTATTTATCTGACGAGTTTGGGTGAATAGATGGCAGAACGGTGGTGGGGGCGTTAGATTTAGCAAAGAAAGAAAAATGCTAAGTACCATAAGGGATAGTTAATTGCGGAGAGCCTTGATGTGACATAAAAAAATAAAATCAGGCTCAGATTTAAATAAAAATATATCATCGTGTTTCATTGGGATATGTTTGATCGTAGCTTTTACGTATAATGACCTAAGCGCTTGTCACTCGTGCCTGAAGGAAACACGAAACTATTCCGCTAATTAAATCCTAGGAAAAATACTTATTATTAACGGATATATTCTTACAATTAAGTTGCGTTCCTATGATCTCTCAGAAAGGGTAGAGGGTAACGAAATGAGGTGAATAGATTGGACGTAAGAAAAGGAATATGACAGTTATCAGGGTATAGACCATGATAGATAATGATTGACTCTAGACTTGTAGAAGTTAAGATTGTAGAGTTCAAGGAAACTCCGACGCGTAATTAATTCCCACAAAGTCGCCGTTCTAGCGACGAAAATCTCTGAGTGAAACTTCCTTCTTACAAATAGAATCAAAAACGATCGCCGATGATTCGACCATATGAACGTAGCATTACGGGCTTAAGTTGCAAAGGTCTCAAAAGACGGATCTAAAGAACTAAAGTCGTTTGAACGTTGATGCAGTGAAAGGCTTGTGTCTATGGGCAAGTGGTTGTAACATATAAAATAATTAACTCTCGACGGGTCCGCGTAAAATCTTTTAAACTTTCAAGTTTAGAAAGCGAGTATTAGGCAGATCCAACCCAGATACCAAAGTAATATTTTGTCATTGTCGCGATTTTTTTGGTTATATGGCATCACAAGGTGTTTGGTGACTTTTGGAGCTATTCCTTCGTCAACTGGTTGCCTAGTTACCACGGATTTCTAAAATATATTGCTAGTAACTTTCGTCATGTCATGTTCATTATGCAGAATATTTTCCACTCTCTCAAGGGATATGCTAATAGCATTGGCTATTTGAGTTCTATCCAATCGTCTGTAAGCTATCAACATGTGGTGAACACGACCAATGTTTTCCTCGGTTGTGGCAGTTGCCGTACGTCCAAAACTTGGGTCAACTTCAAGAGTCTACTTACCCTCCTAAATCACATTGCCAACATTTGCCCTGTTCATAAAGGTTTAGCGTTATACACTAATGTGGCAACCATATCAGCATGAATGTCCTTTGCGCATAACCCTTTATCTGCAGGTACTTTGTAACACCATGATGCCAAAGTTTATCCATTTTCAAGAGTCTCAAGTCTCTAATAGATATATTTGAAGGCGTCTTTGAACTACCAGATTAGAATTTACCTGTGCAATTATTAAAAAGAAGAGTTAAAATTAATGGATGCAAGATTTCACAGTTCTAGCGTTCACACCTTCATAGACAGTCTGTAAAAATTTCGGCTCACCCTCGTAAAGTAATTGATCAGAAACTGTTCGAGAAAATTTCTTTTTGTATCAATAGTATTGTTAGTCATCAATGAATTTGTTTCCCGTTTCGGCTACCGTCAACCTGGGAATCTGCAAGTGAAATTCTTCTTCTTCAATATCGAACAATGTTTATCATAGGTGGGAAAGAAGGGCTTCTGAGTGAAACATTTTCTACGAAGGTTAAAACGGGTGAAGCAGTTGCGTAATTAGCACAGCTTTCTTGGGACCAACACACCAAAGTTGCACTGTCTATGTTTCTTACAAAAATCAAGTTGGACGTCTTTTTACTAAGAGAAAGGTTGGTTTTCTTCTCTCGTACAGTAAAATAATGCATATTGTCTGTATTGGCCATTTGTCAGGAAATTTATAGATGGAAACAAAACGTACACTGAAATTAACATTAGAAAGAAACAGCAGAAATGTCTAATAACCGTATTGAGGAAAGAAGGCTTAGATAATTTGACACTGACAGGACATATTAAAAACAAGAGGGACAGAGAAAAGCAGCGAATAGTCTACCAAACGAACCTGTGTAAATATTTAGTAGAACAGGGATTAGGAAGTTATAGTGAGAATACAAAAGCTGCTAAAAGATACAAAGGACAGGAAACTGTAGTAAACCATAATCATCCTCACAACCTGAACGGATTCGACACATAGAAAATGAAGAATTCTCAATGGAGGAAATAGAGGAAGTAAGAAAGAAATTTACAACTGCTAGCAGTTGCAGTCCCGTGTGTTCGCGAAAAGCCGAAAATGCAAGCTGAAATATTTGGATTACAAGTAATCTATCTCCTTATCCATAATGTATATTTTTTTAATTCATGGCCGAATAAAAAGGCTGTCAAAATCGATACATCTGATCTCTTTCTTTTCTTTTTCTGTGTACCGGGATTTGCAAAATGACCCCACCAATTCCGATCGTTAACTGATCTATATCATTTAATTGTTTTTCTCCTATGAGGATTTTCTCACGTTGGCGAATATTTTAGACACAGGGATCTATCTTATTTCAGA